CAGATGTTTTGATTTCACTCCCTTTGAGAGGTTTGATAGGATACTGAACAGGACTTTGAAGGACTTTTCATCAGATGGAGTTGAATGTCCTGAATTCACCAAATGTTCTGTTACTGAGCTCTACACACACTTGCGTTTTCCCCTTGCTGACCATGCTAGATAGTGCCGATCAGTGGATTGGAAAACCAACTGACGAGGGATTGCGAAATCTTCGATGGATCTTGATAGAAAATGGTTTACTAGCCTAATTCATAGACAACAATCTAAAGTCAAAGGAAACCTCTGAATAGGTCTAAGTCTCCCCCAAAGACAGCCTCATGCTTAACCTCAAATTTGAAAGTGATACTGAAGCATAAATTCTCTGTAAACGGCTTTTGAAATCTCTCAGTAAAACATAATTTTCCGCCAGCGTACGAGTGATATTTTCCTGACAGAAACTACTCAGCCAAATTGCGAATGATGAACTGTCGCATTCAGCCACTTCAAAATGCATATACTGGTTCACTTGCTCTTGTAGAGGCCAGTACATTAGGCATTTCACGCGTCTGATTGTAAAACGCGCTCTGTAACACTATCCATCATGCTTAGCAGTAGGAGAATGCAAGTGTGTGTATGATTCAGTAACGCAACATTTGGTGAATTCAGGACATTCAACTCCATTTGAGAAGTCCTTCAAGGTCGCATACAAAATCTGACCGAACCTCTAAAGTAGAATGAGATGAAGACATCTGGGCATAGATGAGACAACAGAGATCCAAAGTTCAATACAGTGATATGCTTAAGGGACCGAATTTATATTCAGTGAGTTTGGGCAAACCACTGGTAAGACTAGTTCAAAATCAAAGAAATGGTTGTATGAAATTTTGATCAGCTCAGTCTAGGAAGCGGTTGCTGCTGGCCAGCGACCACTGTCATCCAGCGTCAAGGCTCTCATAATCATAATGTCATTGTTACTTGTGGCCACATCTTACAGTCTAAATAGTTTATTTTCGACATACGACTGTGATGAGATCTTAGTTGCAACATCCTTATTTTATTAAGTGTAATTTGAGAACATCTGCAAAAGATGGGCTGTTTAAACGCTACATTACGTTTATATCCACTACAGGCAAACTGCTCGTAGATATTTACTAGTCACCTCTATTAATATCGTTTTACTGAATTCTCAGCGCTTGAGTAAACTGTCTATGCGTTAACACTCACTGTAGAAAACATGTTTCTATTGGGTGAGCATTCCAGAAACCGCCGCTTACAGTAGCAACGTGAGTTATACTGTGTTCAGCCATTGCCTTCATGAATACAGTTCTTTCGATGCCACTTTGGTTGGGTAATCACACGTATTAGGGATTTCAGCTCACTGGACTTATTTCGCTCTTGTGAACTCTGGTTTTCTTGAGTTGTTATGTAATCTTACAAGCTAACAGTGTTCTTTTTTTTCTGATGAGGACCTGTGAAATAAAATGACTTCATTTCCTATTGAAAATTTAGTCTGTCTTCTTTTGTCGGAATTTAAGAGCACCATTTTTTATTAAGCTAACAAATATTTTCGGTTAATTCTCATCAAGCTTTACAACTACATAATAAAATATCAGTCATAGGCATTTGAAACAATTTGGTGCAGTAGAATCAAATATAATGAAGGACGATTGCTGGCATTAGATGGTTGGATGCAATCCAAAAGGAAGCCTTGCTTGACCTAGATTCGTGCTAGTTAACACTCACCAATCTGTAAGAAGGCTTATCTACAACCTTGAAGGAACTCATGTCCATTCTGAGATTCAAACCCGTGTCACCCAGGGAGTGCTGCAGTCAGAGACGTTACCACTGACGAGCTACTGGGGCTCGTGGTTGACCTCCAGTCCTATTCAGCCTGCAACAAAGATAGGACTGGACACACACACATTACACAAGTTACTGACTAGTGTTCAATTAAAAATATCGAATACAGTCAGTCCTAGAGAAGGACAATCTCGAGTCCGAATAACTCCTCAGTGTTAACGTCTCTGACTGTAGCACTCACTGGGTGACGCGGGTTCAATTTTCAGAGGGGACATCAGTTCCTTCAAGGTTGCAGATACGCCTTGCTGCTGACTGGCGACTGCCAACTAGCATGAAACCTAGGTCTAGGGTATCCTGCCGATTGCCTCCAACCCTTTAATACCAACAATTCACAGTGCACTGTGGTGGCGAGCCACCTAGTGTCATAGTGGCCACACTGCAAACTTGATTGGTTGAGTTCAGTTTGTACCAAAGACAGGACTAGACTCAATACACCAGTTACTGACTAGTGTCCAATCAAAAATGAAGGAGAATATGAGTAGAATACTAATCATTTTTGAATCTCTAATAGAAAATAAGATGGACGTAGGTATACCATATAAAACACTAAGGGAACTGCTAGTACATTTTACGATGAATGTTTAGTTCCAGTTTAACAAAAAAATTTATCGTCAGGTGGAGGGAGTAGCTATAGACTCTCCTCTACTAGGATCTCTCTTTTAGCCGATATGTTTATGGCAAAACTGGAGAATCTTCTTCTGAAAAATGTAATCAATGAACTCTCTTTCTAGTGTGGATACATGGATGATACTCTTATCTTGCATATGAATAACATCAATACTGAGGTACTTCTCAACACATTCACTGTTGGCTCACCCACAAATCGATTTCACATATGAAACAGAGAAAGACAATGCTTTATTATTTTTTGATTTCCTACTAGCAAGAAGGCAAGGTGGTGGTACTAAGTGGGGTGTTTTTGGGAAAAAATTAATGGGTTGGTCAATACACACTCACTTCAGGTCGTTTGTTCTTCTTGTAAACAAACGAAGTTTGTGCGAGAAAATTTAACACAGCTGACACTTCATGATGAGATAAGGAAAGTACAAAACTCATTATAGGAAAACGGAAATATAAAATTTGTTAAAGTCTTCATCAGGGGGACAGATAGAGAAAAGTGTCTGCAAACTGTGCAGAAGAAACGTGTATGTATATGACTTTACTGTTTAAAGGAGATACACCTACTGAATCGTTTGCATCGAAATTCCGAAAAATGATGGCAAAAACCTTCGTCGAAACACCATGTTTAAAATCCACCACCTGTATAATTCTAGCCCAGGTGAAGGATAAGCTACGGAGTCTGACCACTTTAATGCCCGTTTAAAAATTCAGCTGTTCTTGTGGAGATAGTTACATAGGTAGCACGACTCGCCACGCCCACCGTCGCCTTCTTGAGCATTGTCCAAAGTGGATAGGTAAGGGAGCCGAAAAGTTAGTCAGGAGTTCCATATTGTTATACCTTGTGGATGCGGATCACAAGACTGATAAAAAACTCCATCTTCACAACTGTTAAGCAAGCATAGCTGGGGCAGTTGCCATAAAATTACTTTTCAACCCAATCACTGAGTTCACAAAAAGTTTGTTCAACCTTTTTCACTTGTGTGACCTTCAATTCCAACCTAGAATAGTTATCTCTCCCGGTGATACGGAATAACTGTAAATATAATTTCTACCTTTATTTTTACCGCTAACTTTATTATAAATTTCACACTGTGTTATAGTGGCATATTTTAATCCTAGTTTCACAATTTATTGTTATTCTATTTACATTCTACTTGATTTTATTCGATTGTACTGATCCACAGTGTTTTAAATGTCTGTGACTACCATTTTATGTAACTGTAAAGCCTGATGAGAATTTACCTAGAGTACATTCGTGTTTGTTTAAATCGTGTTCTAAAACTATCTTAATGGGAATATTTAAATAACCTGTTTGAGGTAAGACCATGGATTGGCGAAGTTCAACAACAGCGTCCCAGGAGTGTGAACGCTCTAGTGACCTTGAACGCACGCTAGTCGTTGGCTAACAGCATCTGTCATTATCATATCTGAAATATCAACGCTATTCACCAACTTAGGAGGAAATTTTACCAAGATCACGTTTTTAAGTACTGTTTAGACAATGTGTTAATGGCTCGTTAGGGTTATAATTAGCATTAGGGTTAGAATTACGGTTTGAATAAGGGTTGTGATTAGGGTTATGATTAAGGTTAGGTTTAGTGTTAGGGTCAGGATTAAGCTTGTGGTTACGATTAGGGATAGATTTATAGTTGATGTCATTTATTTTAATTTGTTTTATTATCCACGTTTTCCTGGTAAGTAGTCGTCTATCCTGTTGCTGGAAACCATAATAATTCAACCGAGGGCTTTTTTGGAAGATTGCAAGCAAATGTGTTGCGCCAATACATTACACGTTTCAGATAAACTACGTCTTCTTATTGCGTTGTCGAGATTCACAAAAACAGTTTATCTGTAGTCATCTCGGTGAATAAATGTACAGAAACTAGTCTAACTTAGCAACTGATACTCCTCGTTACAACTAGGACGTATTTTTAAGCCATGTCAGAGAAAGATAACCTGTTTAATGCGTTTTCAAGCATTTTCTTGTCAATATACATCATTTTTTGAGCAAACATTCCTCATTTTTATGATTGGTCAGCTGAAGGTCACTCGTGCGTTCGCACTCCTGGGACGTTATTCTTGAACTTTGCCCATGGATTGATGTCAGTTAGAGAACCAGTCAAAGCCAGGAAGTACTGGACAGCTGTTTGGGACGAGTTCCCTCCGATGATACTGTTTGGTGGCCAGGCTAAAATCCCGAATCGGTAGAAGTTACAATTCACAGGCCATCGGATCAGGTCCCAGTGGCTGAATGATATACGAGCTTGCCTTGCAACTGGAATGTCCTGGGTTGGGAACCCAGCGGTCGCGCACTGCTCATAAGTCCCGGGCACCAGGACAAAACAGTTGTCCAGTACTCCCTGGTTAGTATTCAGTGGTTCTCTAAATGATATCAATCCGTGGTCTGACTTGAAACAAATAGAATCCCTACAAGTTAATTCATGAAAATTTAAATTATCATAAGTTATCAAAGTAACCATGTTAATGACGTATTTGATTATGTTTAACTGACAGATTTCTTAAAAAATAATAATTCCTACCTCAGTAATCTGTAAAATCCCAAGGGATTAACATCTTTAACTTGAATAATATCCTCTCCAATCACTTCATCCTTATAAAAATTGATAGTCGATGCTGTTGGTCCAGCACCAGATGCAGCTCCTGGTGAAGCTTTGCCTGCTTTCTTTGGGCTGCCTTTTTTTGGACTTTTCTCTTTTGGACTCTTTTTAGGACTTTGTTTAGTATCACTTTTTGGACTTCTTTTCGGTGATGTTTTACCAGGACTTTTTCTACCAGGACTGCCCTTCTTTCCTGGACTGCCTTTTTTCCCAGGACTTTTTTTAACAGCTGGTGAAGCAGGTCTTTGTAGGGCCAGCTCCATTTCTCTATCACGTTCTCTAATTCGCTTTGATTCTTCTTCTTTTTGTTTAATACTGTTCACTTTCCATTCATCACATTCAGCGAATAATTTTTCAAAAACTGGACTTTCAGCAGCTAACATACACTTATGTGCTTTTATACTTGATTGAGCGTATTCAGGACCAACTAAAAATTCTACATCAGTTTTTAATTTTGTCTCCAGCAGAAATCGCATTCGTTTATGCATAATACCTTCTGGTACTGGGACCAGAATTTCTTCTTCTTCAGAGGGAATATCATCTGCTGCCTTTCTGTCACCATCTCGTTTAGGACTTTTTTTTGGACTTTTCTTTTTTGGACTTGGACTTTTAGATTTCGGACTTTTAGATTTTGGACTAGGCATATTGAAATGTTTTATACGGGTTAATTATTCTGAAAATATTAGAATTCCTCTAGAAGAGGTCATAATGCTAATGTCCTGTTCATTTGTTAGTTTTAAACTGTCTAATATAAGTGAATATTGATTTTTATCTGTGTTAATTAATGTGATTAATCAGTAGAATTGATTAACAGACGAATATCAGGTGACGCATACTGAAATGACCTTGATTTCAGTTTGTCTTATAGTCTAGTTAGTTCAAGATTTATGATAATCGCATTTCAAGATAATGGTTTATTTGAGTATTAAATTTCATCATGGTGAATAATAATTCATGATGAGTAGTTTTGAAAAAAAGAATGGCAGATATACAGACCTCAGGATATATTTAGCATGTGAATTTTGAAGAAAATAAAACAGATATCGAGAATAATCATAGTTAGGATTGATTAGTATTCATGTTTATAGCTCAAAATATACCACTTCAGACATATCGACAGATACCTTCTCTCCATTCTGGGGATCACAGGGCTGACGAGAAGGGATTGGCAGCAAGAAACACCTAGCAGCTAACTAACCAATAATCGGTAGCCCAAAAAAGATGTCGAGAAAATGGAGATAGATCGGACGGACATACACTGAGGACACCATTGAATGATATCGCACGCCAGGCGCTCGAGTGGAACCCTACCGGGAAACAACGAAGTGAGCATCTATCCTAGGACGACATAGAGGCGATTGTGTGAAAAGGAGAGGAGAGACTATCGGAAATTGCGGAGACAGATAAAGTTGGTTGTGTTTTTTGAGCTGGATGGTTTATTTGCGAAGCTTTCATCGCCCTACTAAGCGACGTCTTCAGCGCATACTTCAATTCGAAGTTAGCTTTTAGATTTGGATACGTTACGTAGACAACAGATTTGTATTAATCAAAAGAAACGAGTTAGATAAAACTCACAACTTAATAAACAACGTCTTCAACGACATCAGAATCCCCAAGAGAAGAAGAATCCGAGAAAAAATCCCATTTTTGGACGTCTTAGTCAAGGGAACAACCATCACGAAACTCAAGATTATAGAAAATCAACTCACACAGACTAAATACTGAATTAAAACAGCAACAATCCAATAAAACACAAAAGGAACTGCATACAAACACTATCGAAGAGGGCCAGGACTCATTGCAGCGCTCCCACCTTAGGGAAAATTGAAGAAAGATATCTCATGGACGTCTTCCAAAAGAATGGATATCCACGGAATGTAATCAAAAGACGTATACCCCCAAGCCAACCTATCAAACCAAAAGCCCCCAAGGAGAGCACAAAGAAAATCGCCTTACCATATATAAAGGACATCTTAGAAATCACCACAAGGCTCTTCAGACCTTTAGGAATTAACGTTGCACACAAACCAACAAAATCACTTCACTCAATTCTATATCAACCAAAAGACTCAACAACGAAAGAAGATAAAACCAACACCATCTAAAAAATAAATTGTAACAACTGCGAAAAACACTACATTGGCCAAACTGGACATCCCCTTCGTCTTCGTATCCACAAACATAAGCTAGCCATCAAAAGACATGATCTCCACTCCCTCATATCACCACATACAGACAACCACGGACATCAGTTCGACTGGGACAACGTTCAAATATTAGACAGAGAAAACAACAAGAATGCTAGATAATTTTTAGAAGCCTGGTATTCCAGTGAATCGTCAATCAATAGACACATCGAGATAGACAAAATTTACCAACCGATAAGAAAAAAACCTCACACACAAAGAGTCAATGTTCAAGTCAAAGAAACAATGAGTGACAATACAAGTAACCTAGAAAGTGTGAAAACACACAAAAACAACCAGTCACGTCCAAGTTCACCGGGAGAGATGATTAATAAACTCGTGGGGAAATCTGAAAGAGTCGGTGGCACAGTGGTTAGGACTCTCGCCGACCATGCACATGGTCCGGGGTTCGATCCCCTGCCGGCGCACACCCGATACCTATGGTCGGCCTGTAAATTTGGGCTACCGATATCCATGCTGAAAATTCCATACTTGTACTGAAAATACGGTGTGGAATCAAGCTGTAATCAAAAATAAAAATAAAATAAGCTCACTTCAAATTGAAGTATGCGCTGAAGATGTCACCTAGTAGGGTGATGAAAGCTTCGCAAATTAACTATCCAGCTCAGAGAACACAACCACATCAAAATCGTCCACCTGAGCTACAAATCTTCTCTCTCATATCTAAAGTAGACTGTAGACAATAGGATGATATGCTGTTGAATCCTTATTTTCCGCTTAGAACCTAAGGGTATAATAATATTTATGTCAGAGGTTAGTCATACAGAAGAACCAACTACTGTCTATTTCATTACATTCAAAAGAAGCTTTTCGTACACCCGATACCATTGGTAACTTGCGATAATTCATGAATAATCTCCATTCAGACTTTAATGAAAAAAACACGTAGTTCAACGAAGAGTCCCTTTTTGGCGAATTCATTCACTTAGCTGTACAATAATAATTATATATAGTCATCTGTATGTGTGTCGCATTCCATTCGGGTTCCACTCGAGCGATGGCCTGGCGTGTGATTTCACTTGATGGTTTGTTTTCTCAGAGTATGGCCAATCCACGTCCATTTCTTCATGCATTTTTGTTGCACAATCGCTTCCTGCTAGGTTGATTTGCCCCTAGAGATCCCTCCCCGTTTCTGATCTTTTCTGGCCAGCCATCTCATCTTGAGTAGTATTGAACGAAGACAGCTGTTGATGAAAGTCTGACGTTTATTCAAAGTGCCGTTCGTGACGCGCCTAGTCTCTGATCCGTATAGTAGCACTGATTTCATATTGGAGTTGAAGATCCGGATCATGTTTTTCATGCTGAGTGCTGTTGATCTCCTCCACACAGACTTGAGAGTAGTGGAAGGTTGCATTGCTTTCCCGACCCTCACTTTGATGTCGTCATCAGTTCCGTCCACCTGTAGTCGAAACGATGCTTCCCAGCTCTGTAGGTATAGGAGGTTGCTTCTTTCATATTTTTTACATTTATGCAGATTTTTGTCTGTTGTAGTTGCTGTTGCTGTCGGCCATGAATCTTCATCATCGCCTCTGTTTTCTCTATGTTCACTTAAATTCTTCCTAACTGTTATGTTTTTTCTGCCAACTTGTTGCTTTTCACTGGCACCTGTACATGTAAACGAAGAAAAATATAGGATTACTTAGGAGTTGTGAAACACAAGTGTTACAAGGAGTAACAAAATTTAGATATGATAGAGAATATTAGCAGCTCAGGTGAATGATTTTGATGTAGTTTTGTTCTCTGAGCTGGGTGGTTGATTTGCGAAGCTTCAGAAAAGAAGACACACAAACGTCAAGTCATTAGAGGTCAATACGGTTTTTGAGAAGAATAAGAAGTTCAGCAAAGATATCTTTTCGGCGATTTCATTTTCAAAAGCTGTACAATCGCATTTAAATACATAATTTCACATGGAGATAATTCTTGTTTGGTTCTACATAATTATGACGGTGAATAAAAGGTGATAATTATTTCAACTAGATATGGTTTTACGAGAGGCTTAGAAACAAAATTACATGGGATTTAGCAAATTACAGGTGTGCAGAAAGTGAGCATGGAAACAAAATTGATATATTAGTTTTAACTTAAAATGGAAGTTAGGAGGTGTGAATATAGATTACAAGAGCCTTAGAAACACAAAAAATTGCACAGGATTAAGATATAATTGCAAATTTTTAAAACGGATTATAAATGTGAACAGGAAAAGCATGGAAACAAACTTAAAATAACTTTTTATAACTGGAAAAAAAAATGTGGGTGGATCGAATGAAGACTGAGGGAGTAAGAATCACACATATAGCGAACGAAAAGGGATCAAAAAACAAAAACAAAAAAAACAACAAACAAAAACGGAAGCTACGGTAACATACCGAACTAAGTCAATGGTAGTTGTAGAGGTTGGACTAATTTCTTTTGGACACACAGCTCCGGCTTCTCGATGCATATTGCGAGGGCTTCTGCAGTACAGAGAAGTCGGAAGCAAACTGCTTTCGGTAGGTTTCTGTTGACTTTGTAAATTACTTTGAATGAATCAGTTGAGATGTTGTGGGAGGTATTGATCAGATGCTCAATAATGGCACTTCTGATTGAACCAGTGCCCCCTCTTTGCAGCCACGCTGGGTAGTGTTCTCTAACACGTTTTGAAAGGACGCGCATACAACGACCTATGTACCTTGCTCCGCACGAGCAGGTGAACTGGTAAATGCACACTGAATTGGCCATATGCGACAGTTTGTCCTTCCCATTGCTCCGAAGAAGTGGGCGGCTAGAGAATGTCACTCTTAGAGTTGCTGCCGGAAAAGTCTTCTTCAGGGATTTGGAGATTCTCCTTTTAAGGATATCTGCTGCTAGGTCTCCCCTGAATTCCAGATTCAGATAGAGTGTCTTCTTTCGCACTGAAGTGTATACTTCTCTTTTTGGCCTTGGTTTCATGTTCTTCTCCACGAAACGCGGCGGGTATCCGTTTTGAATCAGGATGCTTTTTAGGAATAGGAGCTCTTCTTCTAAACAGTCATCACTACAGATTCTTCTGGTGCGGTGGGCTAGCGAGATGATGAGAGCTCTTTTACGGCTGATAGGTATCCAACTGTAGAAGTTTGTCAGCTGGCCATTCCATGTTGGTTTTCTATGGATAGATCTTTTCAGAGTTCCGTCGTCTCTTCTTGTCAATTCGACGTCCAAGAATGGAATCTTTGATTTATTTTCAACTTCCATTGTGAATTTAATTGAAGGATGACAGTTATTAAACTCCTGTAAGATGCAATTTAAATCGGAATCAAGATTTATGATAATCGCATTTCAAGATAATGGTTTATTTGAGTATTAAATTTCATCATGGTGAATAATAATTCATGATGAGTAGTTTTGAAAAAAAGAATGGCAGATATACAGACCTCAGGATATATTTAGCATGTGAATTTTGAAGAAAATAAAACAGATAT